TTCTCATACATCACAAGGTGGTGGTTGACTTCGATAACTTGGCACAATTTTGAATGTTATACTACCACGAGCATCTTTCTAAAAGTAAAACAGACGGACTAATGAAGAATTTCTTTCGGTGTACAAGAACATACCAGCATTTGTTGTAAATATTGAATCGGATGGTTGGAAACCGGTTGACCATTGATTTCTTTGATCTCGTCACCTACATGTAATGTACCTTGACGATGTATCATTCCACCATTGAGTATACGCGAAACAACACATCGTTTGTTTTCCGTCATACGAAGTGTAATACCCTAAATGAAAAGTAATTTATTACAAGCGTTCGACAATATTTCTTTGTATTTACTAGTGGTTCATCGGTATTTCGCTGGAATTGAACAAGTCGTATACGCGTAACATCGCATATGTTATCGGTTATTCCATTATCACCACCAACTCGATTTTCATCTATCGCACCACTACCATTGTGACCACCATAGTCATTATCGTAATTAGTGTCTGACGTTAATGTGTTTTGACCAAAAAATGCCGGTGTAACACGTATGGCACCATCGCCATAAACTTCTTGAGCAACAACATCATGTGTTTGTAAAAGTGACTAAAACGGAAAAAATAAGTGAATCAATCGAAATGAACGACACATCTGGAAAAGAATATATCTTCACTGTGCGTACATACCATTCTTTCGATAGCTCTGCTTACAATTAAAAGAAACTAGACATCTATTGATCTCGCTCTAAGAACAATAATACTATAATGGGTTCTTTTCTAAAAAGAATAATATTATTTCTCTACACTTCTTTTCTTCCTTTCTCTTTTGGAATATTCTGCCTTCTGAGCATTGGAGAGTGCATGTCTATTAATCGTTTCTATGTTATCACAAATCCATTGGAGAAATAGATGAGCTTGATTGATCCCGACGGTTATTGTGGCAATATTTAATTCAATCGCGTTTTTTCTTCTATTCACAAAATAAATTCAATGCTCCAATCTATCTTACTTGTTTCATATGTTCGAGCGTAAAATATAGTTTTAAACTTCGTTCGTCCATAATGATAGTCACCAAAATAAAAATCATATTTTTTCCGGTTAAAACAGTCCAAAGTGGACAGAAAATTCTCATGCAATGCTGTCGACCACTGTTCTTATCGTTAGCGATGATCAAAAAACGACACGATAGAAAAAAAAAATATAGACGACAAGTCACAGAGTAGCAGAACAAGAAGAAGAAGAATAAGAAGCAAATGATCGGATTTCAGTTATCTATCTTTTTCTCTTATCGTTTTCAGACTATTCGAATCCATACATGTTCATACCTGTATATGTGGTTCCAAAAGAATATTCAATAGATCATGAGCATTGCCAGATGTATGCTGATAAGAACCTTGTTCAATGGCAGTTATTATCTCGGAGACAACCTGTACAGCATTCGATTCCGGTGTGTTGTATGGGCGAATTTCATCTGAATTGATATGATCATATAACTAAAAAGAATGAAACTACAAATGAGAAATGGTTCATTTTCGAAAATTACTTCAAGTAGTGTTCGTAGTTGTTTGTCTTCGAATAATTTTTGAAGAAAATCAAGTTCCACACGATCACCAATTGTTAACCATTGAGTATCTTCTAGCGAATCCAATATTTGTGAAACCGCTAAATAAATAAACAATGGTTCGAATAGAATATTCTCTTGATTTTCATCCAAACAATGAACTCAAATCGCGCGATGTGCACAGAAACGCAAAAGAAATAGATCAAATTAATCCAAATCATACGCATCAATAAAGCAAGAATCAGCCAAAGGCTGCTCATCTAGAACTCATTGCCAATGAGTACATTGGATTTAAAGGAAATATGATCGTGATTGATGGAATATTACAGATGTGCGTGATGATGACAATCAAATCGTTTCTTGCGCAAACGACTAGTCAATTGGCAAGGTGCATATTAATTGTGCACGAGAAGATTTCCTTTTAATCTATCAGTAAGTAAATAATCGTCGTTTTTTCTCGTAAGATACTTCAATAGGAAGGATACAGATATAAATCAAAGTTAATTGCTTCTCAACGTCGACGGACAAATAGGAACTGATTTCTATTAATTATAACAGAAAAGAGGAAACGCCTAGTGCATCGCTTTTTATTCTTTTTTCCCTTAACTTAGCATTAGCAGACACTATTTTAACGCTCTAATTATAGAAAATGGCGAGTTGTTCAACATCAAAGAGTTGTCAATTTACTGTAAAATGCGATAATTCTATTGTGCTTCTAAACGCAAGCGATTACTGTTGTTTTCAATGTACTTTCCTCCATCGAACTAAAACCTCCTTAATCCAATTGCCGAATGCCGTCTGATAGGAAACTATAAAGTCTTACCAGATGATGCCATATCATCAAATTCATTTAACGATGGTGTTGCCAATGTGTGTCCTGGCAGACCCGATGATGAATTCGACGTTGTCATCAACGAGTGAAACGGTAATTGAGACCAATGAGGACTGGAAACAGCTGCTAAGACTACGCCCTGAATAGATCGATTATTCGTTTGATTAGTAGGGGAAAAAAACGCGTACAAATAATCCATACTTTTAGTTTTCTTCTAGCGTTGAATTTGCGAAGTTCTTCGACAGTGTCTGGTATATGTTTTCGCACAGCAAATTTTTCACGCTCCTGAAAAGAAATCAAATAAAACTCGTGACTGTTCCCAGTGAAGACAATTTATTTCCTAAGGGTGGCTTTATTCTTATATACATAGAAATTAGTTAAATTATTTCCGTCGCTTTCCTTTTATGATGAAACCTAAATTTATAAGCGTCAAAACAGAGAAAAAGCACATCTTTTCTCTTTTTCGATCATCAATTAAGGATCAAAAGATTAGTTTCACCTACTCGAATCCATGGATGTGCAAGTGCTTCTTTTATTGTTATTCTTTCATTTTGATCAAAACATAATAGACGTGAGCACAGATCTTTTGCTGATTCAGATATTTGATCCCATTGTCGACTTTGCATCTAAATGCAAACAAATTCGATCATCAAACTTCGCATAGACCAAAGCTGGACATGACATACACTATAAACACCTGTGGAAATCATTTCAAATACACGATTCTTTGTACCAGCAAAAGGTAATGTGCCCGTGAGTAGAACGTATAACATAACGCCTAATGCCCACATATCCACCGGTCGACCAAAGCCGGGTGATTCCCGATTGACTACTTCTGGTGCCATGAATGCCGGTGTACCGATTCGACTAGCTTGGATTATACCTGATTCCGGTAATTGTAAGGCTACACCGAAACCACCTAGTTTAACCGGTGCAGCGTTTTCTTTCGAAGATAGCAAAACACAATGTGGTTTCAGATCACGATGAATGATGCCACGATCATGAATATAACGAACAGCTTCAAATATTTGACGCATATAATGACTAGAAAGATGAATGAACAGATAAACGATTGAATAATATCGACGAAATGCCTACCTAGCGACAGCTTCACTGTAGACAAAACCAGCTAGAGCACGTTTTTCAATTTCGAAACATAGATCCGCACCGTCCATACTAAAATAGTTGAGAGAAATCAATTAGATGAAGTTCATTTGAGAGCAGAAAATCAATTCCGCAAAATTCGGCATCTTTCATCAACAGAATCAATATTCACATTAGAAATTCGATATATGTCAGCTCATCTTTCGCTAAAACAACATTTATGTATACATAAATCTCAACGTACTATTCGAAAACCATAAATAGACATCCTTCAGATTCGAATGTTTTATACAGTTCGACAACGTGAGGATGTTTAAGGCTTGCACAAATGGTCGCTTCGCGTTGTAAATCTAAACAATGAACAATAACAAGAAAAAAAATCATCTTTTTTTCAATATTCTTTCAAAAACGAGTTTTACCTTCGGCTGAAAAGCCTGGTGTCGTTGTAAATTGTTCAATATCGATGATTTTAACTGCAAATTGTTTGTCGCCTGATTTGTTCGTACATCGACGGACTACACTAAATGGACCCCTTCGAAATAAATGAAACGTAATTGTGACCACGATTATTATCAAAGAGTTCGACCTCCTTACTTTCCAATGATTTCATAGAGATTGTACAAGTCCGAAAAACAAACTGATGATTGTCCTTCATCATCAGATAAATTTGTTGTGGTTTCTAGATGCATATTACCATTGAACAGATGCTCATTATAGATAACTGAAGAAGAAGAAAAAAAAAAGGAAAGACAAAATTTCTTTTTCTCTTTGTTGTAAATATGATCAAATAAATGAGAGGATGAAGAGTAGAATCAGTCACGACAGAAGTGTTCAAGTAAGAAACTAATCAGGCTAATTTGATTGCATTTTCTATCATCTTAACATGACAGATCCGAAGAACAAGAAGATACAGCAGGGGTAATAACAATTAACACCAACCAATCAGAAACGAGTGTAAAATGTAAACAAATAACAACATGAACATTTTGTTTGAGATATGAAACAAAAAAAATTGTTCATGAAATTCATTTTCTCTCGATGAAATCAAATCCAATCGACAAAATGGATTCAATGTCAAGCACGAAAAAAAAAGATCCTGTCAAGACACTTGACGTTTTACTGTTCCGCTACGCCCTCTTTCGTTAGAAAATCACCTCGAAAAACAAGTCATTTACTCGAAAAAAGTAATTATTTTTTGTTTTTCGTTACGATCAACTGACGTTTAATACATATATTGGTATGCAATAACAACAGACGCAAATAAATACACACGTGCATACATCAGTCATTTTACTTTACGCGATCGACAATGTCGATGTACAGCGCAAAAAAAAGAGAATCACATGTTTTGTTTTCTTTCTTCGAACGACTCTTGGTGCTTAGGCTTTTTTTTGTTGTCAATAGTCAGCTGATGTGTTTCTACGTTTTTTTTTCGTACTATTTATTATTAATTAGAATTACAGAATTCTAGATATTTGAAAATAATATACGACTCCCTTTTGGGTAATGTGTTCCCCATCGCCTGGTAAACGACGAATAGATACCGATGTTATCAAACTGTAAGTTTCGATGTACGAAAAAAGTTAAACTTGTTGATTCTGCTCTCCGTTGCTTAGAATTGAATCAAAACATCAGGTTACGCTCATATCTGGTCTCAATGAGTTTATGGTCAAATTTGCCGGACCACATGAAAGTAATTTTGATCAAGTTTGACTTTTCGAAAGAAACGATCGCTTTGTTTTATAGCCCCCTATGAAGGTGGCGTATGGAATATTCGAGTCGATCTGCCCGATAAATATCCCTTCAAATCGCCCTCCATCGGTATGTAAAAAAGATTGAACTTTACAGTCAATATTCACTTACATAAACATCACTTGATTTTGGACTCCGATTTTTTTTCAATATATCCTATTGATATATGTTACTGGAGCGATAAGTTCTAACATTTGCACACATGTAGAAGATGATCCAATTCTCATCTCGTTTGTTGTATGGAATCTTGAGATCTTGTTATTAGAAGCTGTTTGAGAGCATGATGCGTGCTTCTTATGTTTCCGACCATCTTCGCAGAACTATCATTTTCCGGGCTAAAGCTATTTAATTTTGACAAGACAAACGCGCGAAACTTCGATCGAGCTGAGAAGAATCTCTGTATTATATTTAGGTTTCATGAACCGAATCTTTCATCCGAACATCGATGAAATGTAAGTCATGCAAAGGTTTGAAATTTCCCATTGATTATCTTATGTCTCATTCAACAGGTCCGGCACTGTTTGTCTCGATGTGATTAATCAAACGTGGACACCTATGTATGGTAAGTGTGCCAATCGAATAGCAAAACGTCACGAATTGACTTCGCATTTCAATAGATCTTGCCAATATTTTTGAATCTTTTCTTCCACAACTACTTGCCTATCCAAATCCGGTGGATCCGTTAAATGGTGATGCTGCAGCTCTATATCTTCACAAACCTGACGATTACAAGAAAAAAGTGCGAGGTAAGTGAAAGCACATTTTCAACGGCAAACAAATATTCATTTGATTTGTCACCGAATAGAATATGTTCAACGATTTGCGACAGCTGCAATGGCAGAAAGTTTAGCGGCAACGATCAACGGTCAACAATCATCGACAAATTCAACGAATGACACAAACAATTCCAATCTAGCAAACAAAAATGAATCAGACGATGAAGTATTAAGTGATTTCAGTGAAGACGAAGCTGCGAACATGGATTTAGAATAAGACAAAAACCTTTTGCTTTATGCATATACATATATTCTACTTTCGAATTATTTTTTTTTTCAGTTTTATGTTTCATTATTACCATCACTTATACATATTATCATATCTGTTTCATTTTTAATGCGCACAAGAGGAACATTAGGCGATTGAAAGAGCTGAATCGATTTTGGTTTCTTTCTTTTTGTAAATAAAAATTCTTGCGCGCTTTTGTTCTTTAATGCTTTGAAAACTCACTTACAGTATTTCATTTTCTTTTCTTCTTTTCGACCATTGCATACTTGTAAATTCGTGCTCAGGTTTCGACTCCTATTTTCATTTGTCTTTTTCGCCCAGATCGAACAGTGTCGTAACAATGTGCACTGCTTTCGTTTACATTAGACTACCCATATAGACTGCATTAACATCGCCATTCATAATATCTTGTATTTCGAGAAATAAAACCACGAACATCTCCTGTTCATTTTCATCTGGCACGTTCAATCAAGGAGACATGTTCTCTATTGGGAATGATAAATGACATATATGTGGAGACGCAGGAGTACAATTAGTTTTTTTTTTTCGGTATAATTAATAATAGATGCGCATTTGTTTCCTGGATGGGGCTTATTCTTTTCTTTTGGCATAATCTACAGAGAATGAAAGGTGATTGTCAATGTTAAGTAGAGAGAATGTAGTACGATATTATATGAGATGAAAGTACTTTTAGGTCGTGATCGTTGTTTGATTGTCTAATTCGAACGAGTCAGACGAAAAATATATAAGTTTTTCTTTCGAACTTAGTCGGACAGTTTCTCAACTATGATAGTGTATCGATGAGTGAGAGTTCAGCGATCTCGTAAAACGTACTTTATTATCCACGTTATCATTATTCTTTTTTTTTTGTTCAAGGAAAGAGATAAGAACACGAATAGAAAAAGAAAACAGAATAATAATAGTAATAATAATAATAATAATAAGTCGACTTCGGAACAGACGTTATAGTGATAAAGAAAAACAAAGAAAAGTTGTTTCCTTAGATATTTTTCGTCTAGATGAGTCAAATATTTATAATTTGCTCTTAGAAAATGACACGCGAAGATGCATTGAATCTCCTAGACGATAATTATGCGTATTCTAAATACAAAAAGTACATCAAACTTCGTTCTGTGACAATTGCGAATACATACAATTAATGCTGCAATGGCTTGTTCGATAGTTTCCATTTCGATCAATGCCATTTTATGATCTTTCTCAAAGAATTTGAATCGTTTTATTGTACCATATTGCGAGAATATATTCTGAATTTCTTCTTCACTTGTTTCCGTTCTAAAAAAGAACAAACCCAACTACTCGGTTAGAAAAAGGATGAAATCGAGTCGACATACGGAATATTCGACAGATGTAGAACGGCCCCAGGTGGGAAGATATTATTATAATTTTTCGATCCAGGTTTTTTGAAACGATGTAATGGAGAATTTGTGAAATCTTTTGTTAAGCCCATATCCTAGAGAATAAATGCATGTGAAATGAAGATGCTGTTGTTCGTACTTACTGATGCACCATCTTTTGGCATTTGTACAAATTGGTGCTTCGAAAAACTAACTCGTATAGATTTACCCAACATATTGACGTGATCGAGATTTTGGTGAGCTAGATCGTTTTAGAATCATAGTTTGAAGTGTACTCGCTGGTTCCTACTTACCGACAGCTGCTTGCTGTGGAGTGGCAAATTGAATTAACGCAGAGTCTTTTTTGTTAAATAGGATTTTCACCCGGTGCACGTCACCATAAACACCTAGGGGAAAATTGGAGAGTATTTGTCGTATGATAGGTGTATTTCTAGTTGTCTATCGAGAATGAGAAAAGAAAGAGAAGAAACACGTACCGAATAATGTGAATAAGGACTCTGGAGTGGTCATCTAATCGTCCGAAAGAGGAAAAAAAAGAATGAAATGAATAGATTTCTAACTTATATAAGAAAGAACAAGAGTTGAAGATGCAAGAGCGCACTCGAGTCACTTACGTCTTCATTTAGATTCGATACAAGAATAACAGGCCCATTTTGAACGGGCATCATGTGAGGATTTGGTTGTTGATGTGCTTGAAGATGAGCCGGTGGTGGAGGAGGATGACTGGAACCGTATGGATGACCATATGGAGCAGCTGAAGTGCCGACCATTGGATTGTAAGTAGCAGATGCTGGTGGAAGCGGACTCATTAGATGACTAGTATTTCCTGAAACCCAACGCATTGGACTAGATGACAGAAACTGTTAAGCGAAGTTATACCTGACATGTCGTATCCTGGAGCCATTCCACTTCCTGAGGATGGTCTACCACGAAGTCCAGCGGAGGCTGTGTAGTAGTCTGCAAATATATACGTAGCCTTTGGAGAAACAATCGTGAAAGAATTCGATTACCATAACGATAATCTTCGCTAGATGTTGATCGTTGTAGAGGAAGAAGACCAGGATTTGAATGCATACGATCTAGTGAATTAGGAACAATAAAGGAATGAATGCCGAATCATGTTACAAACCTAACTCTGGCGGTTGGCTCATATTTCCTTCATTGGAAGGTAACGTTGGATTAGTATAGTCACGACTTTTATCATTATTGTATTTAACAGTAAGAGAATGCAGTTTAGAATATTCGATTTGAAGCTAAATACCATACATCGACAAGTCTATATAAAAAATAAGTCGAATTTTCTACAATCTACTTACAGTACAACAACCATTATAGATGTTTTGACCATGTAGTTGCTAGAATCGAACGAAAGATGCTACAGGATATCAATTTTTATTTATTTTTGGTTTACCAATATAGCCTGTGAAGCAGCATGGGTATCTTTTAATTGAATCAATGCTTGAAATTTTTCTAACGTGAGAAAAAAAAACAAATCATTTCCCTTCGTCATATCGCGAAACTTACTTACCATTTTTAGTGAAAGTAATTAATTTTAATACTGTACCAAATTTGTTAAAAATCTACGAAATAATCTCATCAACAATTTCATTTTCCTTTCGAGACCGTCATACTTGATATAATACATCGATTGTAACAGGATATAGCATATTTATAATTGTGACACGCAATACACAATTCGCTCCACCTTTCTGCGCAGTTTCGTACAGATCTGTAGCTTGTGCTAGTGCTGCGAATGCTTGTTGATTAGTACGATTAGTGGGGTCTGTACGGAGTTCACCATGATTTGAATACTGTGCGAACACTTGTCGACCACTGAACATAGTTGGCATAGATGTTAAGTACTCAACCATTTGTTTGGCTGAATCAGTGGAATCAAATTCCAAGAAAGCCTAGAGTATTGTTTGATTTGCATTAAATCCGAAAGAAAAACAGTTGACTTTACTTGAGATTTTTTCTTTAAATTCAGAAAATTAGTTACACGACCAAAAGGAAGACCAAGTTGTACAACTTCGAAATCATTGGCTTCAATATTTCTCAAATGAACAACGCGAGACGGTAATGCAGGTTCTGATCGGCTCTAAAAGCAACTCATTGACATTCTTCTATTCTAAATCGTTTTTTATTCAACATACTTTTTTCGAAATATCAGCTATTTGCGAATTCGAACTACCAACATCATCGCCGTTTGTATCAAACGCATCGCCTGAAAATGTACGCTATAATCAAAAGTACAGACAAAATTTCATTTGATTATATGCAGATGTGATGTCTACCTTCATATTAATCTAGAAAAAGACGATGAAAAAGTAAGATAAGATGAAATTTAGTCATTCTAATCATACATTACTTGAGCACAGACGCAAACACAAGTCTGTAAGCTCGTAGTTTGATGTTGGATGAAACGTTTTGAAAACTTTCTATACTGTGTTTTGGATTTTTTATTTCCTCAGAAAAAAAAACAAAACGATCAAAACGGATATTCACAAGGCAAACACATCTGATTTATCTTTCTTTTCTCTTTACCAATGAAATTCGATGATAAGCGAAGAAATGAACCAATGGACAAAGTCGATAGATAGGGCAACTGAACATATGCCTAGAATTGGTCAGTCAAAGTTTATTTTTCTCATTTTTTATTATCAATCGATAGTTCAGCGTACTAGATATACTAGAGCCTTGTGTGAAGATTCGTTGAGGCATGTAGCTAGTAGATGACTGAATGAGTCATCCTTTGTCGGAAGAAAAGGAACTATTAAAAAATAATGTCTTATACAAATGGAATTTTCCAACTAAATTCAAAATCAAAACTATTGATCTTCCTTTTAGTATCGACATGGCGATGAGAAGTAAAGAACAAATTATGAGGAGTTTTATTGATATTACTGGTTGTGATGTCCGTCGAGCACAGAACTTTTTGAGAGCTGTTGACTGGAACGAGCAAGATGCAGTAGCTCTGTTTCTTGACACTAATGAAACTGAACAACCTTCTCCTCCAAGTTCAGATCCAGGTGAACAACCGCTAGAAGATTCAAGTTCGTATTTCTTCGATAATATTAAATGAAACTAACATGATTTCAATCATTAGGTGAAACTACTCGAAGTAAGCGTAATATTTACCAGTTTACCGATGACTTACCTAAAAATGCCATTGAAGGCGGTTCACGTGTTAGGTTTTCTAATGAACCACCGACCGTGCATCCAATTCCAATAGATCGAGAAAAAACCAACATAGCATCCAAGATTCATGCTTTTCAGAACTGGAGACAACAATTAGACAACTCCGACGATTCGGATGACGAGGGTATATCTACGACACATACGAATGATAAAAATGCATGCTTTCTATTTGATCTAGGTCAAGCTTTTTATGCCGGCGGTTCGGAACGAAGTGGTCAGCAAATAATTGGACCTCCGAAAGACAAAGATAATAATAAACGAATAGCTAATGTTTTTGATGCTGCTCGTCGACAAGGTGCTCGAGAAACGTCGGATGGCGATGATGAAACAGCATCGTCATATCCAAAGAGAGAGCCATTTTCTGGCACTGGATATTCTCTGAGTAATATTCATACACTACAACAAAGATGAAAGTTATTGATTTTTGTCATTCTCATGCATTCAGATGACAATCCTGTACCTTCTTATCCACAGGATGCATCCGCATCAGTTACCACTAAGAAAGTTGAACAAGTACCGATACGCTTTTATTCCAATGGATTTACTGTTGGTGATGGAGAGTTACGCTCGTTCGAAGAGAATAGAGAATTTATTGAATATATCAAACGCGGGGAAATGCCTCCTGAACTTCGCAGCATGAACAGCAATGGTCAACAAATTGAGGTAAGGAACATAGTAAAGTTGCGATTGCTGCTATCGTTTCATTCAGGTCAGTCTTGAAGATCATCGTGGTGAAGAATACAAACGTGTTGCCCCAACGTTCAAACCATTCACAGGTACTGGTCATACCATAGGTGCACCAAGATCTAATCAAGCCGAATCCGATACTCTTGATTTACATCGACTTGAAGACATCGCTCGACAACGATTGAGACGTTCGATATCATCATCAACAATTATTCGACTTCGTTTACCAGATATTTCCACGCCACTGTGCATACCAATTGATCTACATCGCACACTAGCAGATGTACGAAAGTTTCTCACAGAGAACATTCCGTCCCTCCAATCAAACACATTCGAATTCATGGAACCACCATCAACACGCATTCAGCGTGATGATGAAAACCAAAGAATCAAAGATTCGAAACTGTCGAACTCCATGCTTGTCGTTCGACGAACTGGTTAATAAAAATACATTGTTTGAGAGCTATCTGCTATGTATGTAAACAGAACTCAAACGAATGCTCTTTGGTTTGAAAAGTTTTTCTTATTTTTTTAATACTTCAATAGTGTTCTAATCGAAATTCAATAAAACCGAGATCAAATATGCTAAAACAATTTGATTAATTAGCGAAAATTTGTTTTAGGTTAGCCGAACATCCAAATGATTAATATCGATGGATCGTATCTCGAGGGTGTAGGTTCGACGCCAATGACTCTGCATCGTTTCTTAATCTATTTTCTCCGTTGAAGGGTGGTCAAATATTGCGTAATGCCACAACATTGAGTGTTATTTTAAATATTCCTGTTCATGTGACAAACATCCGAGCGGGTCGATCTCAAGATGGATTACGGCCTCAGCATCTGACTAGTATTCAATTATTGACGGAATTTTCCGAAGCAACACTCGATCGGGCAACGATTGGTACAACAGATATTCAATTCACACCAAAAACGATCAAAAATGGCAACTATACTGGTGATACAAAAACAGCTGGGTATGATCGGTTTATATTTATTTAATGACCAAGAAATATAAAGGATATTCTTTGCTTAGAAGTGTCTGTTTAATGATGCAAACTGCTCTTCCTTGTTTACTTTTTGCTAATGGACCTTCAGAATTGAAATTGATCGGAGGAACAAATGTTGATTTTGCTCCAGATATTGATTACTATGAAATGGTATGTTAGAAATCGCTAGTATGTGTAAAAAATGTCGTTGTTGCGATAGATTTTTCGACCAGTAGCTAAACGGTTTAATTTCAATTTCAATTTGAACATTGTTCGAAGGTTAAAAATGTTTTTATCATTGGCAGAACGTTACAAATCATATAGTTTTATAGAGGTTACTATCCGAAAGGTGGAGGTGATGTTCGCATTACGATCGATCCAGTCGAGCAGTTAAATGCCGTTGATCTAACAGAATTTGGACAAATTAAACGATTTTTCGGTCGGTCTTTTGTTGCTGGTAGTCTTTGTTTACAGGTAACATAGAACTACAAATGAAATCTCATTCGCCATTGTGTGCATGTAGGTTGCTGAGGAACTTGCTGAAGCCAGTAGAAAGTTGATACGCCAACATTATACCGAAGAGCTTCCAATAGAAATTGAAGTTGTTAAGGAGCCGGATCAAATAGCTACTGGAACAGCAAACGGTATTATGTAAGGCGTAAACTTTATATAAGTAGTATTTTCTAAGCGAATGATAATAATTGTTTTAGAATAGCAGCAGAAACGACTACAGGTTGTCTGTTAGCAGCGAATGTATTAGGTAAACGTGAAAAATCAGCATCTGATGTTGCAATACAAGCGACTGAGCAATTATTGAAAGATTTATCATGCGAAGCATGTGTTGATCGATATTTAGAGGATCAAGTAAGCTTAATTGTTCGATCGTAGTTTCATCTGACCTTGATTGATACTGATAGTTAATTCTATTGATGGCACTGGCAAAAGGACGTTCGAGAATTCGATGTGGACCCTTATCTGATCGTACCAAAACAGCAATTTACGTAGTCGAACATCTAACAAATGTAAGTTGTTGCTTTTCGAATGGATTTACATGAGATTAACATTATTCTAAAGGTAAAATTCCAAGTTACAGACGAGAATTTACCTGCTTCTCGCGGTACTATTCTGATTGAATGTGAAGGTCTTGGTTATCAACGACGGCATTGAAAAACCTCAAATTTTTTTAGATACATTTGTGAATCTCGGCAATTTGTTCATTTTCCTCATAGGGGCAATACAATTTTTCACGTTTTTATTCGATTACCATTGAAATAAATTTCATCTTATTATTTTTATTCGTTTTGATTCTACAGAAGTCTTTTTCTCCGTAATTTCGTATAAATATGGCCGTTAGAAGATCATTTTCGAAGTGTATAACATCGCGGGAGAGAGAAGCGAGATTTTTTTGTCGTTGTTCTCGAACCAAGGAACGTATGGCGTGTGTTTTTTTCTTCTCGCTGCTTAGGACATTTTTTTTCATTTATTTTTGAAGTAAAAAAAGAAAGAGAAAGAGGAGAAAAACGAGGGATAAGGACGAAAAATGAAGCACGAAGGAATAAAAAAAGAACGAACATAGTGATGATAGTATAATATGTGCACTTTACTGTCATGTACTTCGTCGGGGAGTGAGTCAATAAAAATCAGAGTGATAGTAGGTTTTTCTTCAGAAAGCTTTGGCAGAATTCATAGATCCAATGGTGAATGATTTTTATTGGACATTCGTGAAAGAAACGACGAGAGATCTGAAGTGGTTTTTCGTGCAATTCTTGTTGAAGAGAAAAATAAACGTCTTTAACAAACAATTGGATTCATCCTTGAGAAGAAATCAAATGCAAAAACAGTACGAACACGTGAACTCTTTTTCTTTCATCACTGTCTCTGCTTATCGTTCGTAAAAGTTAATGCGTCGAACCTCTCGCTAGTGATATCACATACAGGCACTATTACGTTGCTTTTGCATCGATCACATTATGTTTTTTTCTATTTATTGGATAGTATTTCGATGGAAACTTGAACGATTGGATTCCACGTGCATTCGTTAACCAATTGGATAGGCGGATATATGATGTCAACAATATCCATATGGTAGTTCGAGAGGGAGGACAATATATGGATGTATAGATATTTCTTCTCTTCTTTTGCTTTCTTTTGTCCTTCCTTTTCTCTAGGTTGTTTTTTTTTATATATTATTATAGAAGAACAGCAATCGATTAACTCGTTCTCACTGTGTTATCTATCTTTCTTCTTCTGTTTTTTCTTCTCACTTAAGATCGACATCGACGCGTGTATGTTTTGTATGTGTATCCTTTCTCATTCTGATATCTGCCTGAATTCTTCTAATCACCAATTCGAACAAATCAACTGAAATCCTATCAGTAGTTATCAGCTTCAAGTTTCTTTCTCGACATGGCGATTCTAATAAAGGTCGTTCTATTCCAATGTCTTTCCCTAAAACATTCTTTCGGCAGAACGACAGAGAAAGAAGTTCTAGATTGAGAGAAATCAGTGAACTTTTATCTCGTTCTTCTCTCTCTCTCTATCTTCTTTAGCGTAAAACTGTTGTTTATATCTTTCTAGACGACGTTGTATTACCTCCTTCGCCACTTTTTAGTCCTTGTCCTTACTATACAGTGTACTTCATACAACGGGGGATATTACATCAACATCAATGCACAATTGTGCTTTCCATTTTCTTCTTTCTTTTCTCCCGCGCCTCTTTAACGTCGATTTCGACAGTGTTTTCCTATTGCCACTATCAGCGCAGTTTATGTTGTTATGACATTTACGAAAACTATTTATATCTCGTCGACTACTTGTTCGTTTTGATCGAAATGACATCATTCGATTTTCTTTGTAGAATTTATTCTTGTTCGTTCAACCTTCGTCGAATTCATTTGTTTCTCTAACAGCAAATTATGAAACAAGCAAATGAAAATCCTTTAACATGCAATGGACATCCGGAAGATTTAGGTAAAACACGTAAAGATTCGGATAATGATGATTCAGCAACAAATACAAGTTCAACATCGTCCATCAATGATGTGCCGTTAAATAATTGCCCTAATACATCATCGTCGTCATCGTCCAATTTGAATACAAGTGAAGTAACAACAAATCCAGATAGTGCCAATGAATTAGTTGTTCTACCTGAAGTTTCATTTAATATTCGAATTCAATCATCAGGCTTAGAAGTTTTCGACTTACCCGTACGGATTGTTGAGAGTGTTTTTTCCAATGATTCGATTCGTCTTGTTGTGTTTAGGTCACATCGAGTGAGCTTGTTCAAGAAATCCATCAAGTTCTAATGGATAAAGAAGAAACATGCCATCGAACATGTTTCTCTTTACAACTCGATGGTGTTATTTTGGATAATTTCACTGAATTAAAAAATATCGAGGGATTAAAAGAAGGAAGTTTATTAAAAGTTGTCGAAGGTCTGTTCAAATCGATATTTCCTTTGTCAAAGAAAAAAAGGATTCCCATTTAGAACAATATACCGTCCGTGAAGTACGAATACACGTACGACATATCAATGAATTGATTCATTCATGCGATTTGAACGATTTATACAACGGCACAAATGGTTATTCATTATGTCTTGTTAATGATATAACTAGTAGTGATACGCCAGCAGCATCTGCAACGACTGGTATGCAGACCACTCAACATACAGCTTTTCGTACTCCTATGTTTGGTTTTAGATCGAAAGAAAGGTGCTGATATGAATGAAAGCGATACCAATGTCCCTGAATATCTTCTACCAAATCAAAATAACATTCTCCTTACACCGCTATTCTCAACGAATAATAAAGTCAATGTAAATAATTATCGATTTACACTCTTGTTCAGTTCTATATAAACAATGATGATTAGACATGCATTTGTGAACATGAGGAATGATTAGCAATGTTCAAAAATGCATTCTTAATTTCTTCCATCTGGAATCATTGCTTACACTGAGAATTTTTATGAGATAATAAATTTCATTTATTGTTTTTCTCCTTCTAGCGATTGCAATGTCTGAAAGTTTTCGCATATAGTGGCTGGAATCCACCAAATGGCTCAAGAAAACTACACGGTTCGTTATATAAGAGAGATTCCTAACAGTAACGATAAACTGTACTGATTTCGATTAGGTGATCTCATGTATTTACAAGTCACAACGTGCGAAGAGAAATCTTTTCATATCACAGCATGTACGAAAGGTTTCTACGTCAGTCAGTAAGTATCTTCGAGTATCACCACAGGATCAATGTACGGTACGATTCATTTGTACAATAGAACAACAGATGAAAAATTTCTTCCTAAACCGGTGCAACCCAAAGCTATTTTTCATTCACTTGTCGATCTATTGAACAGCGTAAGAGAAGGAAATCTGTGAATATTAACATCCTAGTTTATCGGTGGGATCTTGTTTTCAGTTAAGTCCAGCGTTCAAGAAGAAATTTGCTGCTATTCAACGTAAGCGTTGTACAAAACATCCATTCGAACGTATTCAAGTGCCGTACCAAATTCATCCATGGTTATCACCACGTTTCGAACATACAATGGATCACTTCCGAGCTGAAGATGGTAGGAAACTTGCTCGTCTTTTCATAAAGATGAATCCATGATTCATTTAGCAAACATTAACAAACTTGGCCATGAAGATCACATACCCGGTCAAGTGCGTGATTGGAATGAAGAATTACAGATAACCAAAGAATTGCCGAAGAAAACTCTACCTGAAAGACTGATCCGAGAGCGTGCAATGTTCAAAGTAGAGAATCTTCAAAATTAATCGCCTGAAAAGATATGCATCCTTTGATTTTCTAGGTTCATAGTGATTTCGTTTCAGCAGCAATTCGTGGTTGTCAAGCAGTTGTTGATGGAAACATCATGGCAATCAATCCTGGTGAAGAATCCAAGTATATCAAGTTTTCCTCCTAACCTAATCGATTCAAATTGCATTCTTGCATCTAGAGTTCATATGTATATCTGGAACAATATGTTCTTCAGTCTCGGCTTTGATGTTAAAGAGCATTACAAAGATTTCGGTGGTGATGCAGCTGCTCATGCTGCCCCGACGAATGATTTGCAAGGTGTTCGTGCGATCAATACATTAGATCTCGATGGTTTACACACATTGGGTACTATCGTTGTCGATTATCGCGGCATGCGTGTAACCGCCCAGTCAATCGTTCCCGGTAAGTTATCGATCGTTTCTGTTGTTTTTTTTTCGTTCTAAACATCGGCAGTATCAGCGAGAGAGAGAGAGAAAGAGGAGAAAAACATAACAGACAGAATTTGCACGCCTTCTACTAAACATCTTGTATGATGTTGATGTTTTACCGTCGACAGCGATATGTTTTGTTAATATTTCTCCTCCTGAGTATTTTCGTCATCTACAAATCAAATCGAGTGCAAAGGTATATTCTCACGGATGAACATCGCATCTATACATCATTAATTGCGGAATTGCCACGTCTTGAACGTGTGATTCGAACGAAACAATCGAATTTATCTCAGTTACAAACTCGACTGTCGAAAGTGGAAAAACGCTTAACGAAATATTCCTGGCATTTGAATCGTTTAATCAAAACAATTCGTCGTAACACTCAAGAACAAAAGCAAAGTTCACGTTTCAATTCATTTGACTTCGATTTTGACAGAAATCAAAGCAAATTTCTCGTCTATTTCCACTTCACCAATATCTCAGAAGATCTTGACCGTCATAGTTCACACGAATTTCATTCCAGAATTCATCAAATTCAAAGCCCTTATATCACATTCAATGAGAGTGAAGCGTACCTGCATGTAGTTTACCTTCCAATTCGATCAAACAAACAAAACATATGTTATAAAAATGTTCTCGATGAAAAATATTTCGTCCTCTATGAATTTATCAATGGTATTAACGAACAGTTTGATGAACAATGCTTTCAAGGAAAGTTTTTATTAGTCAAGTTTTTCACACAATTTGATGTTGATACTGACCATTTACGTTGGAATGAGTTCCCACAAACGTCAATCGGCATTCTTTATCTCGACAGCAATGGTAAGTCCATCATATATTGACAAAACTTCGAACAATTTTTGTTCATTTTCAGCCACCGGATCTCGGAATGAATTCAATCGATTGCAAAGCAATTATAACGTCACTGTCGAGTGTTCTGATGTAACCTGTCTTTTCAATAAGAATCTTTCTATAGTATCGATTATCTGTCCTCCATTGTATTCGATTCGAATCCACAACCAATTTTATGAATTATTCTTTCATCTACTCTCTCAACAAATCGATCTTCTCGTTCCAACTTGTCAATACTATCTCCCATATTCAAAAGTTATCGATTATTCGCGTAAATCAACGCCAGCTAGTTTCGCTTGGCTATACGCTATCTACTTCCAAACATTCGAACATCGTCTTCATACATTAATCGCGTATTTACGTACTTTGTATCGCCGACCAGCAGCACTAGCCAGACCATCAAAATTTGTTGAAGTTAAAAATCGATTGGTCAGAGAAGACAACTTTTATTACTTAATTCATGAACGACATATAAATTTCACCCAAATTCCAGTTGGGATACTGGATGGCATAAGTTTTCAGTCATACCATAAATCGTCCATAGTTCACGAGTCAACATTCTACGATCAATGGAATCGTTTGTATCAACCATTTTATCGTTCAAATACTCAAACGAATCCATTTGAAAATATACCAGTCGAAGAACAATACACCATTCTGATTTTAACATATAAACAACGTTTCTATCAACTGAATCGTCTGCTATTGCATTTGAATGGTTTAATCAATCTTCATCGGATCGTTGTTTTATTCAATCAGATCGATCCGATGGATTCACCATCACAGACAAACTTCACATTAGAAGATTTTCTCGGTGATTATCACGTTTATCTACCATCGATACACGTCGAAATTGTTTATCTGTTCAATCTACCCAATGATTTGAACAATCGTTTTCGCCCTTGGAATGAATTCATTCAAACCGATTGTATTCTATCGTTAGATGACGACAGTGTTCTTCGACACGAAGAAATCGAATACGGATTTCGTGTTTGGAAGGAAAATCCTTCTCGTCTAATCGGTTTCATCTCGCGTTCACATCGATCGAACACGTTGGAATACGACGCTTCACCCTCGCAGTGTATCTATTCAATGATTCTAACCGGAGCTGCCTTCTTACATCGTTGGTATTTGGATTTCTATACGCATATCATGTCGAAGCAAATTCGTGATTATGTCCAAAGAAAAATGAATTGCGAAGATATTGCGATGAATTTTCTCATCAGTTATTTGACAAATCAAACACCGATGAAGATTGGCCATCGCGAAACATTTCACTGTTATAAATGTCAAGAAAGTCTATCGAATAAAGTGACTCACTACCAACAACGAACTGAATGTTTGAAATATTTTTCTCATATCTATCGTTTCGTACCTTTGCGCTATTCTATTTATCATCTTGATAATCTATTAAATCTGACATCTTGTTTCTCGTCGAATTCAATCTAAATATTTCTTCGTCTCTTTAGGTATTCTCGAAAAAGAGCAAGAACAAAGCGTCGTATATGGCTCGACAGATTTCGGCAAAACTTGTACAACCAATGATAAATACAAAGAACTATTTGATAAAGTATCGACAATGCTTAAAATTAAACCACATGCAGTGAAAACCGAGAAAGGAGAAATTGTCGATTTGTTGACAGCTGTAGAATGTAAAGGAATCGTTGGTAATGATGGAAGACATTATTTATTAGATTTATTGCGTATGACTCCACCGGATTTGAATTATTTACCAGGTAAAGTATTGATTGGTAGTGAAACTGTTAAAAGGAGATTTTTAGTCGATGTCGAACATCTTTCACCGGCGATGAAACAACTTGAATATCCGAAAACGTACAAACATCGTCTATGCTGTTTACGACAAGAATTAATCGATGCTTTCATCGAGTGAGGACTGTTTGTGTGTGAATAATCGATGAAAACGTTCATATTTAGACAAAAATACGTGGATTTCTATCGTTCGATTGCACTCAATCTATCAAAATTACGATCAGCTGAAGTATGTTGACGTACGATTGAATTAGACATTCATTTCACGGTTGATATTTAGTCAACATCAAATGAAAATGCTGAACGAACAAATGTTGAAGAAGCTAAACGTATTGTCAATGAAATCAGTGGTAACATTCATTTGTATTCATATCACCCGGTGATCTACTTATTGCTTTTTCTTCAGTTGAAGATAATAGTCGAGAAATCATTCAATCTGCATGTCGTTCGATTGGATCTGTGAAAGACAATGAATTCGATGTTCGTTTCAATCCAGATTTATTTCAACCACATGTCACATTAAACCAAACAGTATGCAGTATGGCCATTGTCCATTCTTTTACGAGAATAATTTTCGTTTTAGGCAGCAGAAACAGCAGCAGATATTAAATTACTCAAAGAAGCTGCTGAATATTTAGTATTGAAACAAATTCCATTAATGATTCAGGATTTTCAAGATCATTCATCTGTACCAGTTGATGGCGAAAGCCTTTCCGAAGCTATGCATTCAAGGTACTTCAATACTATATCCATGTCTAACTAAAAATCATTTTTTCCTATCTTCTAGAGGTATCAACATTCGATATCTTGGTCGAGTTGCTGATCTTCTCGCTCAACAATCGTCTCTTATCTATCTTTATGTATGTATGACGCAATTCTCACGAAATCTATCATTGAACTTTTCCTTTCAGGAAATTGCTGTCACTGAAATTCTCTGTCGAAGTGCCAAACACGTATTTCGTGCATATACTCAATCCGTTCCAATTCATTTATTATCATTTTCAATCAGTCATTTTCTCAATTGTTTACTTACAGTTATATCATCACCTGTGTCTGATTATTCATTTGACGAATTTGCAACATCTACATCGACGACGAGCACATCGAGCGGATCGCTAGCCAATTCAACGAATACTACCTCTCAAAAACCAAACAATAAGAAGAAGAATAAGAAACAACAACAACAGCGTAAACATAATCCAACAATGAGAAATGGTAAAAAAAAAGCAGTTGGTCAGCTTCCATTGACTACGAGCAATTTTCTTTAGAATCGATGGAATTTTCGTCGTTAACTTCGAAATTACTCTGGACACAGTTGACTAATGAAGCCAAATCGAGATATGGTTTCGACTTAAACTGGTACGAGAACATATTTTCAATCTCGAGAGATGCAATCACCTTCTCTTTTCACTCTAGTGATGATATTGAAGCTTTCGTCGACACATATTCTGTTCGCCGTACATGCATCCTACGATCACTCTGCCTTAAGACTGGTTTACAATTGGCCATGCACGAATATCAATATGATTCAGCTTACAAATCATCTCGCACCAACAACGAATGTTTCACTGAAGATGATATTGTCAACATTTATCCAGTTATCAAACAAGTTCCGCCCAAAGTAAGATCGAGCGAAGGCAACAGGAATAGTTTATATCGTATATTCATTCCAGCCAAGTGATGCTTATCAATTCTTCACAACTGGACAACAAAAAATTCAACAAGGCTTGCTTCGCGAAGGTTTCGAATTGATTTCTGAAGCACACAATCTATTGAACAATGTCTATGGTCCAATGCACCCAGAGATCAGCATGTGTTTGCGATTATTAGCACGATTGAATTACATCATGGGTGATTATCAAGAAGCACTCTTTACTCAACATAAAGCTGTTATGATGTCCGAACGGGTCTTGGGTGTTGATCATCCACAGACAGCGACTGAATACGTATGTGACAAAAGTTGTTCATCTTAGGATTGTGAGGCAAGTGTTGGTCTTTAGATTCATATGGCTTTGTATTCATTTGCGAATAATCTGTCGGTGAATGCAGCGAAGTTGCTTTGCCGTGCGCGATATATTATATTAACGTGCTGTGGAGAAAATCATCCACAAATCAGTTTGATCGATGTAAGGAAATCTAGGATGTGCTTTTGGAATGATTGTTTCTTTTTGTTTTACTTCTAGAGTAATCTTGGATTGATCCTACAATCGTATGGTGATTATGAAAATGCACTTAAATTTATGGAAAAATCCCTCGAATTGAATAAGACGTAAGTGGCATATAGTTTGGTATGCGGAAGTCAGTTGAAATGTTGATTTCTAGGTTCTATGGAACGAGGAGTTTGAAAGTGGCTTTGTCACATCATTTATGTGCACGTATCCAATCATGCCGTGGCGATTTCCGATCAGCACTGAACAGTGAACGTGAAGCATATCAAATCTATAAACTACAAGTAGATAAACGTCTTTTCTTTGTGTCAGTTTTTCACCATAAAATATTATGGCATTTTTTTAGCTTGGTGATGAACATGAACGAACACGTGAAAGTGCTCAGGTACTTAAACACTTAACCGAACAAGCTGTGGTTTTACAGAAACGAATAAATGACGTTGTGAAAGGACAATTACTCGTTATCCCAAGTTTAACCGTAAATATCGTTTTTTTTCCAATTGACCTATCTTCTTCATTCATTCGATTCTGCTTAGATCCAGCAACCAAGTTTCCAGAACGTTCTCGAGATGTTAAATGTTGTCAATGGTATTCTATTTATTCAAATCCGAGAAAAAGATCTTGATATCATTCGTGAAGAAATCGCTAAACAGTCCACTGACGATTCTCAACAACAACCCTCTACACCTTCAGTAACAACCATATCCGATGCTGCAGAACAAGCCGCAGCATTGATGAACAATGAAGTTGACTAACATACCCATAAACGTTGATTTCAGTCTGATACCTTCTTTTCTGCTCTATTTTGTTCTTGTAGTATCTAGGAAAATTTCTCTTTTTCTATATACCTATTTGTCGGTGTGTGTATGTGCCTTGAAGAAAAGCAAACTATTGTTGTCTAGTCTTTTTGTGTAGAAGCGTTTGTTTCTTTAGTTTACCACATTTTCCTGTTGATCGTGTGATCCCCGAGTGTTCGACTAGATAATCGTGTTATCTGTTTTGTGAACTACTTGTCGAAAAGTTTTTTGTTTCGATACCAGTAGTTAGTCTACCTCTGTTCTGTTTGCCGTTCTTTCACACTATTTGTTTTTCTTTCTCTCATTTAACTATGTTACGATGCTATTGACCGAGAACAGTAGCAATAATATAGTTTATTTTGTTTTTGTTCCTTGAAATATGAACTGTTTATTGACCGATGGGAATTTGTTTTGCAGATTTCAACTTATGCTTTTCTCATCGAGGATATAGCTGAAAATTGTAGCCAGATTTGAATATGAGACGGTTTTCATCGTTCGTGTTTAGTCATGTTCTAATTTTCAGTGATAAATCAACACAAAAGAAGCGTATTTACAAGGAAAGATCTGAATTAAGGCATGAGACTTCGAGAGGAGAACATTTAAAAACCAACTAATACAAATGATACAAGAGTATAAAGTACAAAAGTAAAACCAATTTCAATTAAAAACAATGTACGACGTCGTTTGTAGTCGGATTTCTCTCCGAAAAACACATAGTTCCAACCATTGAACTAAACATAACAAAGCGAGCAATGTAAATTCTTATTTAGCTGATCAATACTCACAGTATAGAATCCACATAAGATAGCTGCAGCTAATGCAGCGCTGAGAAAATGATGTTTTCGAATATCGAAAGCTATCAATAATATATTCAATAAAAATGCATTGAATAGAGTTCCAACATTGGACATCAGAATAGATGTTTTATCACAAACATCACCTTCTTTCCATAGTGTTGCTTGTAACCATTGTTTTTGAAAAAACTTCGGTGAATACCATACATAACCGAGTAACATATTTGTGGCAATGATTAAGATTGTTTTTGACAATGCTGTCAATGTAAAGTCGATAGGTAAAAGTTCTAGCATAGTGAGGGAGAGAAGAAATAGTTTAAGCAACTAGCGATCGAAGAATAGGAATCGAAATGACGAGAAGAATACGAAAAAATGTGTCTTTGATCCTCGAAATACAATGCACGGTTCTGGTCATCCCTCGAACTCTTTGTGCACAAGTTATGGAAGTATAAAGAGAGATGAGTAGGTGAAAATGTAGAATCATTTGGAGATATTTTACGAAAACTAGAACAGATTGATGAGTGCAGGTGAAAAGAGTGCACTACAGTCAATGCGAAACGAAGATCAGTAAGTGACATCATGTACACCAGGTGCGTGATTTAGAAGCAAAGTTCAAGTTATGCTGAATTTCTTGTTGTATACGACTCATAAACTGAAAGTACATGAAGCTCCACACTAGTTCGTTGTCACTGCTCTTTGTTTCTTTCGATAAGATAACGACCTGTGATGCATAAAGTCACCATCATCATCATAAGAACAAAACAATGTGTAGAGATTTGTAAGTTCTGTTGGTTTTAATGAAACAAAAGACGATAAATTTATGGGTTGTAAACAAGTGAAAGTAAATCCAACTGAACCAGTGAATGAAATTGAATTACAGCAGACTCAGACGGACATAACAAAAGGGAACGTTGCTGCGGAAAGTTCACTAATTCGATCGAATAGACAAGCAAGACTCAGTTATATAAGTCCATTTGCCACATCTACCTTGACGACCTTTGAAAACACTAACGTAACTCAGCCACGAAACCATTCAAATCCAACCATACCAATACCACTGCTATCCGAGAGGGACACTATAACCACTGCTATTGAAGATAATAGACACAATGAACCACATTCAATATTAGCTGCGACAGGAGAGCCAGCAGTCTTTCGTCAGAGTAATAACCCGAGACGTGTGACTATCAACGACGATCTATCAGTTTATGAAAATAGTAGTGTAACCATCGAATCTGATGATCTAGAGGAATCCTGTACTGCCCATCGTTCTTTTCCCTCATCAGCAAGCCAAGCAGAAGTCTTGGAATACAGTAATGATGCCATTCAGAGATTTATGTCAGCTAGACCCAACCGACCAACTCATCGGGAATCAACACATCATGGTATGTGGAGTGAACAAGATGATTTGTATTCTGTACGTGATAGTATTGTTAGCAGTGTATCTGCGGATTCCGAAGGATCCGTTACCAATCCACCACGAGCTCCTAAAGCGATATTCGTTCGTCCAAAGAAATCATATTTGAAGAAGAAAAATCTTGTCAAGCAATCGTTCAGTGATCACGAAGGATCGGAGTTACGGAATGTCACTGATGCGATTTCGGCACCTGTAGGTATGCATGTGATGACCGAACGACTCGTGTCTAATCTTGGCTCCGCAAAGTTAAGCAATCCAGGTTTTACGTCTCATGGTGCAATCAGTGAAACGACAAGTGAATCTGATGAAAACGAATTTTAATGGTTTCGAAGATATGTCTCACATAATCGGTGCAAAACTTTGCTGCAAAGTTACATCGTTCTAGATGGTTGTATTTAGTTTAGCAAAAGCGATGTTTCATGTGAAAACATCGAGAGCTTTTGTCAATGAACAAGCTTTATGTCTGTACATTGTTGTGTCATGAAAATAAATACGATGAGATATATGTAAAAGCAAATAAACAATTCTTTTCTTCTCGTAATGATAAAACTGATAACAATAACATGTTACTCATTCATCACTTCATCACAAGATTTTCATTTCATTTATAGATGCCACTATTAAATGCCTTCATCAATTCAATTGTCTGCGTTGGTTTCAATTCTGAACATGGTTTTACTCCTGAACGACAGTTAGATGAGGATCCGTCTCTCCTCACATCAAAATTAAAACCATACGTCTTAGCAATTCTTACTGCTGATCAAGCCATCTATCCTCAATTGAAAGGTACTGATGTCATAGATCAGTTCTATCCATCGGTATGCTATACACCATCGTCGACAATCCCGAGATCGCAAAAGAAACCGACTATACCTGTCGCGTATAAGGACCTACCCGTTTTCTGTTCGCCGGATGGTGTCAAATTATCCTATGAACCAGTTCAAAGTCGAATCCATCATATCGTTTTTACACAAGAAGATGGTAAACGTAGTTATGTTGTTGTTTTGACATTTTCGGAAAAGTTTATCCTCAAAACTGATAAACCAGACGATGATGGACGATATCACATCGAATCATTTTCGACAAAAAAATCGAAAAGAAAAATACCATCGTCCTATCCCGGTAATACCGCTGTACCTCAAAAAAGTACGGCATCAACCGGCGGTTCTCGTATGCGAGAACGTTCAAACTCCAATGCATCCAATCGTGTATCAACAACGATTTTCAATGCACACGAACCATTCTATTTACCTCATTGTCTCGTTCTTGTTTCTTCTCATCCATATTGGAGAGCAATGCAAGAAACAATTTCTATCATCCATGACGAAATAATTCACTCAAATATTGAACCCAGTTCAAATACATACAGACAACTCATACAAAAATACGCTTTTCTCGTTTGTCATACACCGATACCACCTGCATCATGGGAACATTTTTCACTTCCATTGACAGTGACAAATAAAGACTATGTGCTAACATTAGATCCACCATTGAATCCCAATCGTCCAGTCCTTGATATTGACCTATCTTTACTTTTGTTAACACTCAACATAGGCAAATTACTCGATGTACTATCAGCTATATTAACTCAACAACCAATTATTTTCTTCAGTTCAGATTATTCAAAATTAGTAGCAGCACTTGAATGCCTTCTGTATCTAATATACCCGTTTAAATGGATACATATCTACGTTCCAATCGTCCCAGATGGTTTATCTGACTACTATCTCGAAGGTCCACCCGGCTCGTACATCATGGGTGTTCATTCTCGGCACCAATCCATTGTTGAATCTTTGAATTATTGTTTAACTTGTAATTTAGATACCGATGAGAATCTTCACATACCATCAATGATTCCATTTTATCCCATTCCACCGGCAAATCTTCGTCATTTTGTTGGACCGATCACTCAGTTCACCGAACAAATAAAAACTGCTCGATCCTTACAAAACATGAATACATTAGGCCGGTTACGCATTGACCAACAACGCGAGCTGGATCGTCAAGATCGTATTGCGACAAACTATCGAATTATCGAAATCTTCCTCGATTTAATGGTTGATCTGTGTGCGGATACATTACAGCCGATCTATTGGAAGATCGATCATCAACAGAAACCTTCATCGAACTCTTTACCAAGAACATCAACGTTGGAAAGAACGAATCGCATTTCGAATCAGACATCATTTCGAAAAGAGAAATACTTAGTGTCGAAAACTGAAGGAGTTGAACAAGAGTTTTACAAACTATTTCTTGATAGCACCGCATTTCAACTTTTTCTTGAAGAAGAAATCGCATCGGAAACTTCGACAGAATTTCAGAAAATCTCGCAACTACGTTCCCATACAAATCAAGACCCAACATTTCATTTCAATACTGATTCCGGAGACGAACATGTAAATACAATTTCCTTTCTCTCCATTCTATCCATGTCTCTTTCCTATTTAAAAGGTTCATTCCACGATATCGCTATTCAATACAACTATAGGTCAATTATTTCTACCGCTACCAGATTGGCCAACAGATGTAACTACACATTACCTTGACAGTTGTATAGAAATACTCACAATTGAATTCGACATCGCACAAGAGGAATCATCACAACCAATGATAACATTCTATGCCTACTTGCGTGGTTGTGCATTGCTATCTCGTGGAAGATTGATCGAAGGTCTTCAAGACTTATACCTAATTGACAATCCAAATCTATTTCCAAAAACGTATATCGAAACGGTTATCGTACCTCAACTTTCCGAAACGAATAGTCTTGATCTATTTCTTCACGAGTCGTTTTACACGCATTGCCTCGAATGGAAAAAAATACAAACGCAATCAACACATTCCAACGTGCTAAACAATAACACCGATACATATAGTAACCCATCAGGTGACCATAATGGTATTAATTCTCCGACTGATGCCAATTTGGATTTGTCTCCAATTCCACCGAAAGATCATCTCTCATTCGAACAATTTTATGAGTACATACAAAGGTTGAGCATTGTCAACGACAGAGAAATTGCTAAGATTATCTTCGATGCTTTGCTACAATCATCCACTGAATCAAGAAAGCCAGCGACAGATACTCTCAAACATCGTCGTCGATGGTCGATAAGTGGTGGTATCTTCGATAGAACAAATGACACACTCAATAATTCTCATCAACCAGCACAAAACAAAACTTCATTACCAAGCAAACGTTTTGAACAATTTTCGGACATTTGGCAACAGACTAATGCTGAAAAAGCACGCATGAATTCTCACTTACCAAAAGATCGACAAAAATATGAAACTACACTCATAGTAGGATGAACCATCTCTTGGCTAATATGATTTCATTTTAATTTACTTCTTAGATATCATCATTTGATATTGTTTCGAGAAAAGACGTCAATGCGAAATTAATTCTCACCCAAAGAAGTCTTTATTCGTTTCATGATGCTCATTCGTCAGCTTGCCTTCTCACCGAAGTATCGAATATCGTTTTCATCGAAACTTACCAACACAAAGCTTTATTTACATCGGCAAAACCAGCTATTCGAATATTCGCAATGCGTGCATCTCAGAAACCTTCTTCCGCATCCGAACAAAAGCCTGAGCCAGTGGTGGTACTTCTCTGTAAAGATAATCAAGAACAAAATTTCTGGTATAAAATTCTCCAAGAACTCTGGTTTGCTGTATTGATAGCTCAAAAGGAATGCGATACAATTATTTTACATAAAGTGTCCAGACACATCAATCTCATCGATACGTTGGCATCGATCGATTATAACAAACAAATCTTACCTGCAAAACTGCTAGAAAAACCAAAGCAAAATTACCATCAGGTAGTCTGACTCGAGTAATATCATTGTTCAATCAATCATATTTTCATTTCTAGATGAATTTGGATATCACGCTAGATAAATTAACAATCTATACCCGAATGTACAACAGCGGTGCTTACAAAACGTTAACTAATGAAACGCGAAGAGTTCTCCACAATCGCCTTTCACCTTCGATGAACGAAAGCGAACAGCATGCTGTGCGTTGTCTTGTGTTTACAGAAAATCCCGATAGCAGATACTCCATCTTATGGTGTGCCTATGGTGCCAAGTTGAAAATGTTCAACACAACGACATGGATGTGCAACCTAAACGATATATTATTTCCATCGATGATTATATGTATGTGTCCTGATGCCTGTGATAAACTTTGGATTGGTTGCCTTGGCGGACAGGTCTTTATTGTGGATACCATTCAGATGATTTGTGGAACACAGTTAACTTCGATTCAAGGACGAGGTGGGTGTCAAGCAATGGCATTTGATTCTGTGCATAATCGTATATTCATTGCGAATCGAGATGGTTTCGTTACAATCTGGAATACGCATAATCGGCAACATCTTTTCGATGTTAATTTACAAGATATTTACAAAAAGACGTATGGAATGCAGCAGAAAATATACAAAACTGAGGTATTGTTGAATCTTCGCAATCCAAAAGAAGAACCAACTACAAGTAAAATTTTGATATTTTCTTCTCTCGATTTGATTTTTTACGTCTGACATGTTCCAGATACTCATTCATCAGTTCGCTCACAAGAAATCATTTCAATATTTTCCAATGAATTGAAAACCATTCAAATCTATGAAGATCTTCTATTTGTTTGTTACCGTGATGATTATATTCTAATCTTTCGCATGATTAATACAGACACATATATCTACGAAGACGCTGTGTCAATTAAATACAGTCAAGATTCTTCAATGCCAATCAATTCTTTCCTTGTCTACAATCGTCAATTATGGATATCGACCGGTTACATTCTTTATGTTTTTAACATAATTCCTGGAAGCAAGAAAAACTCGTATCATTTAATCATGAAAAAACATATAGAAGACGATCATCTTCTAACAATGTTAGGCTTGACTAATTACATATGGGCAGGATCATCACGTGGTAGGATTTATACATTTCGAATGGATAACTATGAGTTGGTGAAGACATTGGATGCACATAAAGACACTGTCTGTTGTCTGTGTTCAATGTTAGATATGTATATTATCAGCGGTTCACAAGAACTTGATACATCGATTGTTATATGGGAAAATGAACAGATAACAAATGAGACATCAGCAACTCATTTGTGACATAATTAAAATGTGTGTTTCAATATTGATAAATGTGAATTTTTGTAATAAAATGTCAAAGAATCGAAAAATATTGAATTCACTTTCCTTTTGAGATACTTCGATTTCATTGGGTGTTTTCTTACGAAAACATTTTCTCTTAATTTACCATTTGTACGCAATCAACCATAGCGTTCTGTATCTCACTCGTCGTATTCAAACGTAGTTCTAAAAGTACGAATAGACGATGTTTTATCCGAATTCCAATCAACAGCAATCCTTTCCTGAATTAGTTGGCCGTAGTGCTCAAGAAGCAGTTGCTTACATTTCCAGCCGAGGTTTTTTTCTCTCTATCATCGCATTCTTGACTTTCCTTTTTCATTCTAGGCTTGAAACCGGTTGTTGTTCAAGCTAATCAACCAGTGACCATGGATTTCAGTACAAATCGCGTTCGTATTGTGGTCGATCCAACCGGAAGAACGGTTATTCAAACACCTAATGTTGGTTAATAAAACAGACTTTGAAATAAATCCATAAACTAATAAACTACCATCGATATGATTGAAATAAGCATCATCATCTATAGCTTGCAAGAAAACTATGTTGTCATCCAACCGTACTGAGAGTACAAAATTTAGCTCTTTGTGGTTTGATTACTCGCCAACGCATTTGATTCGTTGAGAAGGCGAGGGATCAGCATGACAAGATATGATTGAGTATATCTTTTACAGTTAATCAGCTGCTTGATTCTCTCACACCTTTGAATATTTTGTAACAATAATTGTTTTTTTTCTTTGTTATCAGCATAACGCGACCAAATCTTTCCGTATAAAAGCCAGCCGATAATCGACCTTCATCCTCTCTCTCTCTCTCCATTGAGATTCAAAATGTTTACTCCTATCCTTGTTACTTTTTCTCTTTTCTTCACTGTTGTTTTCAACACACCCATTCCTAAATCTATTGAAAGTGGAGTTGATTACGAATGGCTCGGTGAGTGTTAATACGGTTAAATCAATCGTCTTTACATGTTTATTGTGTAGGCGGTGGTTTCGAAGGTGATATGATCTTTCATGATGGATTTGATCCAACTATCGAATCAACGAGCAGAGGTGTAGCCATCTGGGGACCACGTCGTTGGTCAAAAAATACTGTTCCTTATGATCTTTCGTTGATTATAAGTAGGACGGACTGGAGGAAAATAATTCTTATAGAAATTATTCAATTTCTAGATGCTGGACATCGTAAAATAATCGAAGATGCGATGGCAACACTGACCCGTATAACTAGTTCACCTGTAACTGGCAAAGCGTGTATTACTTTCCGACCTAAATTACCAAACGAAAGAAATATTCTCAAAGTGAACTATGGAACTGGTTGTAGTGCGACAGTATGAGAAAGTTCGATGATTTTTTTATGAATACTGAACAGCAGAATGTTTAGGTCGGCTTTTCATACGCTCCAAACGAAATGTCTCTTGCTTATCCTGGATGTTTTCACTCAGGTATTATCCAACATGAACTTATGCATGTTATTGGTCAGTATCGAACAGAAAGTTTGTCTTCCATAAAATCAATATTTCATTTCTGTGCTGTAGGTTTCTATCATGAACAATCACGACCCGATCGTGATTTATACGTCGATGTGAAGCTTGCCAATGTCGAAAAAGGACACGTAAGTTTCTCTGCATTGTCCTTAGATAGGTGAGATAATCTTCATCTCTAGGAACATAACTTCAACAAATATCGATGGGGTAACATGGTATTGAATCAAAACACAACCTACGACTATGAGAGTATCATGCATTATGGTGCCAATTATTTCAGTAGCAATGGACAACCAACAATGACTCCAAAACAACCAGGTGCAAGAATCGGTCAACGAGATCGTCTTAGCGCAATTGATATTGCTGAGATTCGTTCGTTCTATAGCTGCTCAGATTAAAATCTAGTCTTTTTTCGCAGAGATGAAAATAAAAATGGGATGTGCCTTTGTGGCCACTTCACTTTCCCAATAAATAAATCATTTCAGATGCATAGTACAACCAAATTCGTCCAAATCTAATCATGCTAATCTATATTATGAAAATGAAATCACTCAAAGTATAAAAGCAAATGAACACACATAAATTGAATTTTATCATACGAAAACAAAACGAACGCCATGTGTTAAAGCAAATAAAAAAGTGTAATAACATCAATTTCTTGGTATTTCCAGTCGTTGATTCACACATTTTGATTACGAAAACACAGTCCACATTCTTCATATGTGAATTCTGTCATGCATGAGAATGTATTTTTTTCACATATATCTTCTCCAAGTAGTCAATAAAAGCACGCGTCATGGTTTTGTACGTAGCGACATGATCGTATGCATGTTTTAATTCGGTATTCTGAACAAAATAAGGTATTGTAGCAATTGTTAAAATCAGATTTTCATCATCAAGCGGTTGACGATGTGGATGAAGAAACCATTTCTCTAACACAGCATCATATTCTAAACCGGTATAAGATATAAACATTCCCGTATTGATATTCATCAAGCCACGATTCAACGCCTTCACCAATGTTACACCATTCACACGTACCGAGATAATGTTCGTTGGAAATGGTAAACAACGTAAGATGTCGTATTGAGTTATTGTACCCATAATTTGATCGTCCAGGCGAATAGCACCTGCATTGAAAACACATATTGTCGTATTTGCCACGTCTATCATTGCATTGCATAATGCACGTGTTAGATGGGTTTGTTGAGAACGTATCACCGCCGAACGACCGTCGAAATTGAGGCCCTCTGGTAATACACATATGACCCGCTCAGGGACGTAACCTGAAGAGAAACAAAGATGATTCACGCGAGAGACGCTTTCGGTCTTACCATCATCGCGATATGCTTGTAAACCAGCTTCATAGAAATAGTTTGCAACTCTGGCTGTTTCTGGTTCATCGTGAAATCGTGGTGAGACTTGTGTTAACTTCGAAAAGATCAATAGTTGTTTCGTTTTTGGTTGATACGCAAATCGATGGATAAAAACTGTAAATGCATTATCATCTGCTTTATAGATTGGCGTATACTTTGATCCACGTTTTAAATAATAATTCTCATGCTCATGTCCGCCCATGACTACATCGATATCGAGATTTGATTCGACAACTTCTATGTCATTTTGCATATTTAAATGAGTTAAACAAATCAGTACATCCCATTTTAATCTTAACTTTTCGCGAAGATGTTTTATATATTGATGTGTGAACTCTGGTAACGTCCGTTGTGGCGTAATCGTTACATAAGGTCCTGTCTGTACTGGACCCATATTATCATCAATTGTTAAACCGATTAGAAGAATCTTCACATTCGATATTGTAATAATTTTATATGGTAAAACATTATGAAATGGTACAGTTGTATTACGTTCGTAGACATTCGATGCTATCCATTCGAACTTCGATTCGTTCAAACGACGTCGTAAGGAATCCACTCGCAAGTCGAATTCATGATTACCTAGTGTAGCATAATCAAGACCCAGTGTATTGAACGCAGCGATCATCTGCTTTCCATTTAACATCGATCCATTAACAATACTATTACCTAAAGCTGACGGACTAACGACATCACCGGATAGAACCGTAATTGTATTCGGATTTTCTTGCAAGAGTAACTTTCGAATAGTTGCCACACGAGCTAAGCCACCTTTCTTACCACCACCGAGCGGTATCAGTTCGTAAACATCATTCATTTGAAGAAATGTCCATTGTACATAGGATTGTGGATTATTGAGCTTGGGTGGTGAGCCAATATCGTTCAGATATGATAACAATGATCGACGTATATCTACATTTGCTGTGACGTTGTTTATTCTAATCGGAGCTCTATGCGCGAGCCGCTGATGTTCATTTGTATAGATCGGACGAAACCAACCGAATAATGCGGTTATGACACAAAGAATACAAAGACATATTAGAAAACACAATTGCCAAAAAGTGATTTCAATTTGACGACGACAATTCATGATGTGTCAAACAGAAAATAAAACATTCAAATTTTCACCATTTTTTTAGTCATCTTCGTTCTTATCGGATCGTTGATAACAGATACATGTTGTTAGTAACAGTAGATGTAAATGAGAATATGCTGGATATAATAGCTTCAATATGATATGATAATTGCTTGACTTATGCCACAGACGACTAATGTGTTTTCACTTGATGAGAGAAAACTACTATATCTATCAGAAATTATTCAAATATTTTCGTTCGGTTACGTGATGCGATATGCAAAATATTCCGAACTCGGTTTAATCTATTTGACGAAATACTTACGGCTTTCATACACTAGACGATACTTGAATAAAAAAAGAAACTTGTTTTTTTTGCTTTCAATGAATATTGGTTGTGCTTTTTCAAGGACACACACAAAAAAAAGAAAAGGAACCTGAATGGATATCCTCCTCTGTGTACTATCTCAATTGACTTGACTTTCAATTAGAAATGGAGCAGACTGAATTTGTTGTTTGAGTACGAAGAAGAAGGGAAAGAAAACAGACTCAACGATAATGATGACAAACAGTCAGAAAATTGATACATTCAATATTTAGGAAGAACAGAACGATGAGTGCAGATATGAATAATACGATACAAATTTCTGTATCTCACTGATGATCCATCGAAAAATCTACGTTGATTTGAATTCATCAATGAAATTCAAGTAACATGAGTAGTCTTCTAATCTTTCCTTCAATCGAATATTGACAATGGGAAAAACCCATCATTAGCGAATCTAATGACATTGCTAAGAATACAAAAGAAGAATAAGCCTGGATGACAATGCCGACAAGACGCTATGAAAGTTAAGAAATGAAAAAATGTATTTCCCAGTACATAGGAAAACTCCGATCGATTGGAAAACATCGAAGTGCTGAGTAGAATAAGGTCACGGTCTTATTAAAAAGTATTATTGTTTTCGAGTGTAATCGATAATCAATTTCGCATCGAGATTGCAAATTACAGTCCGAAGGTTAAGATCATTTTGTGATATGGACAAAGATTTTCAGACATATATCAATCAAATCAAAATCATATAACAAATAGCAGACTATTTAGAGCGATGATGTCAATAGAATGGATCATGGTTAATGTCTAGTCTAGAAGGAAGACATTTCCTGGAAATACATCGCATTGATTTGCAAATTCTGGTATGCACACACTGAACTTTGAATCATTCGATAATCTCTTGACGATTGGTTGATGATTGCTCGTTGCAAACCGCAATTTGTTAGTAAACGGATGATTATCAGTCTGAAGAATTGAGATGAACGTTTCCTTTCATTTCGTATTTGTTTGGCTCAATAATCGATTGCCCTTCACTTTGATTAGCTAAACTACGGAAATCGAGGGAAGGTCACATTTGATTTCCATAAACAAAGCACGCCAGATATTTTTCTTTTTTCGTACTTACTTTTGCCTTAGAACTTTCATGACTCAACATACAAACAAGAGCAGAGTGTGTTTGTTCTATCGATAATGAGTGGTGATATTGTTGTTTAACGTCGAATATGACGATAGAAGCACAACAATGTGAACAGAACAAAAAATCTGAGATAAGAAAAAGACAAAAGAAGTGTTCGTTGTTTTCTTCGGCGTGTCTTTCTAGAGATTATTTTACTGGGGCAAATGGAGCCGCTTTGGAGTATTGATGAGCTTGTTCAAGAGTTAGATCAACCGAAGTTAGACGGATGGAAATTATTTGCACAAGCTTCGGAAGTCAAAGTATACCGACGAATAGATGAAGCCACGGTAAATTCACGTCGAACGAACTGATAAAAAAAAAAGAACTTTCTCTGTAATTCTCTTTTAGAAAGCAATACGATATAAATGTTACTCTCATATTCCTGATGTTACGCCAGAGATTTTCTATCGAGTGGCATTGGACATAGAATATCGTCTGATATGGGATAAATATCTGAAAGGTAAATCGTTGTTCTCGAATGTGACATAAGTTTGAAATGATTCGTTTTATATAGAAGCAAGAGTGATCAATGATGGAGAAAAGGAAGGCATTCATTGGGAAATCATCATGCCGTTATTTATAGATAATCGAGATGTACGTTTGTCTTGCTCGTTGATTTTCCTTGGTTATCTTTTATTCGCTTGAATAGTACACGTATGTTAGAGAATATGGCGAATATGATGTTGATACTCGACATTTCTACTATGCTATGACACGTTGTGAACCATTCAAAAACGTGCCACCGAAGAAAAAGGTTGTGCGTATTGAAACTTGTCAAACGCAAACAGTACTCTGTTCGGATGGAGATAAAGGCCTGAAATGTATATACATTTAAAACAGAATTCAATGTGAGAATGTGTGCAAATACGTTCTTTCTTTTCTAGCGGTTTTTGTCTATTACGAAGATCCACGTGGAAATATTCCCAAAGCTCTATGGAGTTGGGCTGCAAAAGTTTGTTTCAAAGTTTTCTCTGTATCAAAATAGTCAATCATTCTCAAATTTAGTTTGGTGTTCCAATGTATGTAAAATTGACTCATAATGCATGTTTGAACTATCCGGCGTGGATAAAGGATAAACAGGCGAAATTACCTAATGTGCCTGATGAAATCGACGAGATCGATCGTGCTGCAACTGCCGAAGCCGCTGCGATCATGGCGTCGAACGAAATCGTACAAAACGACAATGAAGAAGAATAAACTTTTTTTTTTATTGAAAGATTCGTTTCATTTTCAAACGTAATTCAGAAAGCATTGCATCGGTATTGTCGATAAATAAATCAGTACTACCAATTCGTGGTAATTGTCGAATTTGAGCATTTTCGATCTGAGCAAATGTGATATCAGCAATTGCACCTCCATTTATTACGTAGAATGGTCGACCGTGAAATTGACTTATTTCACTAGAGATCGAATATTTCGTTGAATCAATTATATCCGATAGTTTTTCTTTAGTTAGCAGTGCCAATCGCTCATATGCTTGATTGATATACTGTTCACGTTCTTGCCACGTTTGTGCTAGTTGTACCTGTCGTAGTATGGGTTCCAGCGATGAACCATGTGTAGTACATCGCCGAAATGCAGTACCAAACCATTTTGCATATGGACAGTACTGTTTTTCTAGGAGAAAAGTAAGTCGCATGACATCGCGTATCAGTCGGCTGGCAATGATGGCTGAACCGAGTTCGTCTTCGGCTTGTCCAGCACGACACATCAAATGTTCTTCTTGACCTATACGTTGCCAACAGCAGCCGATTAAATACAACCAAACGTCTTTCGGATAGTAAGCCAGTTGTGTTCGAATGCGAGCTATATTCAAACGGCTGCAATCATGAAAAACACGACCTCGAACGATAGTCAATAGATGCTGACTTGGAAATGTTAACCAATCTTCAAGCGTTGGCTCGCCAGTTCCAATTTGCCAATCAAGATAGCTGACAAAGAATTGTTTCATTGTCATAATACGGATACCATGACAAGTACTTTCATCGTCATCTGGAGTATTAATCAGAGTAGTAGCCCCGTCTTGTTCCGTGAATCGTTGAAATTGTGTGGAATAGCCACAAATAAGTTTTCCACGTAAGTGTTTGCTGAAAAATGTGTTTAATTCATCAATATGCTGTTCATCTTCAAGGAGAAGATCGAATTTCGGTCCCCAATCATGGTCCCGAGATTGATTCGTATCGAAACCAAGCACATCAGAACCTTCTCCAAGTCGACAAGCTACATATTCGAGTGATGGATAGTCTTTGTCAAGTAATGGTTTAACAAGATCGAAGAAAAATCGTTCACATAGATCAAGTCCAGGTATGAATGGGACATTATCTGGATACGGCATAGGATTCACTAGCAAACTACTAGAACAAAAAGTGCATCATAACAATTCTCCTTTTTTTTAATGATTCATCTGATACCTCAATTGGTAGATCAACAATCATAGGTATTTCATTAAAAAAGATGTAGCTCTCGTCCATAAAAACGAGTCCATTGAGCGTACAACTTTGATTCACTCTGCTAGCGTCGAGAGAAAAAATGACGAATTAGTGAAGAATTATGTTAGATGAAAAATACCTATAAAAAAATTAACTAGTGTATAGATCCATACCCACGTCACAAAAATCCGGTGCGGAAGTGCCCGGATCCAGAACCGACAGCAATTTTCCGTCAAGTTTCCACTCTTTTGTCTCGGTCTTTCACATTACCAAACAACATCTCAGTTAACCCCTCCTCATCCGAAACTGCCAGATCAAATTTTAGGGCGGTCATCGAGATTCTGGGATCCGATCGGTTGGGTATCCGATAACAATTTAGCTAATTTTTGTGCCGGCCGGTTCTGTCGGGAACTGGACGGATTGAGGTGGAAAAGATGTGCAGTTCTGCGTTATTTGCTTTTCAAAACGTTTGAATGTGTTCAGCATTAGGAGAATTCTTTCAGAAAAGAGTCGGCTGATGAGCATTACTTGTTAATAAATAAGTGCTTCGTTCAGTATGATTCTAATGGTGGAATGTGTTGTTCATTACGATAAAAACAAAATATTCTAAGACGGAAAGAAATCATTGCAGCATGCAGCTTTAACATTGGCATTCATTGATATTATTATCATCAATACTATTGCTGAAAATCCCTTCATATTTCGTCAGATTCAGTGAGAAGTTGTTTTAAAATGAATAAACCAAAAGGATGTGAATATGTTGATGGAAATATATTATCATTTCTTGATTTCTATTTAAATTTACCGTAGAGTTTGAAGAAGTATTCGATGAATATGCGAATTTTATATGAAGATATTATAATTTGAATTCGCGTTTTACAGTTATGCTAAAAGACGAAATAAATTGATGCAAAGCTTTACAAACAACATGAATCTATTCATCCATTAATTATTAATCTCCATTCAAGGATTTAGAACGATTAATTATGTGCGTAAACATTTTCAATTGTATTATTTTTGGCATTGATCTATTAATTAATAGCTTTTGCTCAAAGTTTTACAATAAATAGATGCAAATAGTATAAGTCTTTCGTCTCGCAATTCTACAACACTGTGACAGAAATTGATCTGGCAAATTCCTTTGCTTAAATACAATTTCTTACGTACATAAATCATTTTCAATTGTATGATCAATGTATTCTTTGTAATTACAGAAGAATCAAACCTTTTTTCATTGCGTATACATATCTCATGCAATTACTGTATAAGGTGAGTCATTGATGCATCATTTTCTTACGAGACTCGAATTAATGATGATGGGAATGTGAGGGAAAAAACAAGTAATTCTTGAACTCAGAATATTACACCCCGTTTTGCACAGTCCGACTAATCGTGATACTACCACTGTTCTATAGTGACTTTTTGTGTATTTTTATGTTCAACAATCATCAATTTCCCACACTCTCGTTCTGAATGTTAATATTTCTGAAGTTAAAAGAATGATTTAATCCTGATGATTTGTATTGATGAATAATGACAAATACCAATCGAAATGACGACAACAAATGAGTTTCATCATAATGTTTTAGAACAGAGGAAAGCTTTTAGTTATAAGATACTGAAAATGATTTCACTTTTTAAGAAGCAACAGTCAAAATCCAATATTCGAAGTAAACGTCAACAAATGAAAACAAAATGATAATAATGAATTGTAGATGATTATAGTCAGACTTATGCGGCAAATCTTTCTAATCATTGAATAACGAGCTAATGGAGTGAAGGAACAAATATCAAATCGAATGTCTGTTGTATTTATTTATCATGTAACTTGAAAGGAAACCTTTATTTTTTTCAAAATCTCAAAATAAATTTTCAAATCGAGCGAAAACAAAACTGAAATTCTTAAGTAACTATTGAAAATCACTTTTATCCGAATTTTTCAGATTGACTATACAAAAGGAAAGATTTCTTCATATTTTCTTCTGTCCATCAACTGATTGTTTCACGATTCATGGCTACAAGTTGCTTCTCCTCTTTAAAATATTTCTATTTACCTCGATACATTAATAATTCATACAATTTTATGATCTAATAATTTTGTTGAAAGACTTCCATTTTGATTTGATTCTATTGGTTCAAAAACGTTTTCTCCATTTGAATTTTTTATATTCCTATCACAGCCAATTCCAACAAGAAATCTAATAGTTCCATGTCAACAATCACTCGAACTTTCAAACATGTATATAAAAAAAATTGACCATCCCGTCATCAAATGAACATTATCATCTGTATTTTCTCGATTATTTAAATAGTAATGTATGTGTTGAAGATCATTTTTCTTTCAAAAGTTAACAAAAGCTTATTTAAATGTTTGATTATCTCAATATTTCACATGGTGCTATTACTGTTCGATTGTATTCATCAAATACTAAATTGAATATTTCCATTAGTACACTATGAATAGACAATCCATTCTAATATTGGGAAAAGTAATTTTCAAGCCCATAATTCATCATTATCTATCTGTTTTTGACCTTCTATAATAGGTATTTAACTATAGAATATTTTGAGAGTGTGAGTAGTAATGGTTTTATTGTAGAAAGCATTACAGCAGTGAAACAAAAAAAAGACATAAAATCTTATTTTTGGAAACTATACATGAAGGAGAAAACAAGGCACACGACAGCGTAAAAATCGCAAAACAAATAACTGCTGGAGTGTACATATTAATGACAAGAAAAATATTAGAGAAAAGCTATAAGGTAAAACTAGATAAAAGAAAAAACAATTGTAACATCATATGGTATGGCAAAAGTGATATTGATGAAAAAGAGGAAAAATATTAGTTTTAGAAGATGTTACTACCGTCGAAAACGACACAGGCAGTCATATATTTATGTAGAGTAGAACAGGATATGGAAGGTGATTAATTCGATCTCAAATCTGCTAGCAAATCTATTTCTCCCCATAAATCCAAAAGGACTCGGAAGACTATTAAATGTAATGGTCGCGTTGAAAGCTTAATGAGAAGACTTATTTGGATCAATGAAAGATGAGCGAAAGAAAGATGAACACATGAAAGATAAGCGTCAAGAATCGTTGGCGAATGACTAATTGAGCATGACTCCTAATTATAGATATACATAGAAATGTAATTAAATTAACTGATAGACAATCTATTGAATTAGTGAGAAACTGAAATTTATTTTTATAGAGAAATACTATAGGCAATCGAATTGGTAATTATACAGGTGTGTAGACGAAAATGACAGCTATCAGATTTATAATTAATGCAACGCCAGTAAACTTTTTCACCGTAAGGTCGGTCTTGGATGTATGAATGACCATTAAGATCTAATCGTGCTTTTGCTTTGTTGTACCGTTTTCAGAGATATTCGACATTGTCAATTAACAAGAAATTGAAGTTATATACATCATGTAACATTATTTATATTTTTGTGAATTAATTACATCGTTAGACTTAAGTTGACATAGTTTATTATCCAATTCCCTGTATAAACATGTTCCTTAGCGTTCTGAGTATATCCAATTTAGTGATGAACATAATGCTCTGTACATTTGATAATTGGTGTTGTGCTTAATTAGTCGGGTGCTGATTATTCCTTTCGCTTATCTTTCATGTGCTCAACTTTCTGTACTCATCTTTCCGTGCTCATCTTTCCGTGCTCATCTTGCCGATTCCCGACTTATTTGATTACTTATTCCTTATAATTTTTTCGTTTTAACTACAAATACTTTCTTTTTTTGGAGTCAACGCTTTATTTGTAATTAAACAACCAGTTTACAGGAAAGGAAAAAAACAGACCGAAAAGAGAGAGAAGAAAACAAACAACGGACAGACTGAGTATAAAGCTGGCAGGAGAGAAAAGATTTTTAAAAAATACAGTTACAAAGTTTGGGGCGTTGGTTGCGTTCGCACGCGATGTGTTGGAAGGTATAAGATTCTGTCTTGACCATTTATAACCTTCCCAATCCTTAAAATATTCCACTAGTCGCTCACCGAGTTCACTTTCATCGTCTTCTAACTCAATTGGCTCTTTATTACCATAAACTGTAATAATACCATCCCTAACAGTCATACCATATTCATGATCTATAAATAATTTCTTAATAATGGGTAGCCAAGATTCCATCTTCGTTTTCAGAAAAAAAACAACAAATTCATGTAGAGAACTATGCTTCAAAATCAGAGAGTCCATCTTCTGAACGCACATTGACAGTTTCTTAACTCTAGATTCCTCCTGCCAATCTAGTAAGGATGGGGAGAATTGAAAAATCTTTCCAATCATAGATCTTATCTCGTATGTGTTGAAGTTTCCATAGTCTACACACGTATCCAAAAATGTTTCTATCACTTCTTTGGTCATTGCTTTCTCACCGATTTGTGCGAGAGTCTCACATGCGCTAAGTCTGACCGTAGCATCTTCATTCCCACAAACCAGGATTGAAAGTTCCTTAATTATTACATCGGTTTCTGCTTTTTCACCAATTTTGGCAAGACTGCTGCATGCAAATCCTCTGACATCCTCACTGCTGTCACCAAGCAAATTTAAGAGCATCTGAATTACTTCATTAGTTGCTGCTTTTTCACCCATTTTCTCGAGAGTTTTGTACGCAAATCGTCTGACATACGCATTGTTGTCACAAAGTAAATCTAAGAGCTTCTGAACTACTTCATTAGTTGCTGCTTTTTCACCCATTTTCTCAAGTGTCTGACACGCAGATTCTCTGACATCCGATTCCTGGTCACCCACTAAAAGTAAGAGCTTCTGAATTACTTCATTAGTTGCTGCTTTTTCACCCATTTCCTTAAGAGTCCAGCACGCATATCCTCTGACATACCAATCCTTGTCTTCCAGTAAAAGTAAGAGCTTCTGAATGACTTCGCCAGTTGCTGCTTTTTCACCCATTTTCGCGAGAGTCTGGCACGCAGATCGTCTGACATCCGCACTGTTGTCACCCAGTAAAAGTAAGAGCTTCTGAATTACTTCACTAGTTGCTGCTTTTTCACCCATTTTCTCAAGAGTCTGGCACGCAGATCGTCTGACATCCTCACTGTTGTCACCCAGTAAAAGTAAGAGCTTCTGAATTACTTCACTAGTTGCTGCTTTTTCACCCATTTTCTCGAGAGTCAGGCATGCATATCGTCTGACATACCCTTCCTTGTCACCGAGTAAATCTAAGAACTTCTGAATTACTTCATTAGTTGCTGCTTTTTCATCCATTTCCTTAAGAGTCCGGCGCGCAAATGCTCTGACATTCCAATCCTTGTCATCCAGTAAAACTAAGAGCTTCTGAATTACTTCGCCAGTTGCTGCTTTTTCACCCATTTTCTTAAGAGTCCGGCACGCAAATGCTCTGACATTCCAATCCTTGTCATCCAGTAAAACTAAGAGCTTCTGAATTACTTCGCCAGTTGCTGCTTTTTCACCCATTTTCGCGAGAGCCTCGTACGCATATTCTCTGACATACCAATCCTTGTCACCCAGTAAAACTAAGAGCTTCTGAATTACTTCATTAGTTGCTGCTTTTTCACCCATTTTCTCGAGAGTCTGGCACGCAGATCGTCTGACACCCTCACTGTTATCACCCAGTAAAAGTACGAGCTTCTGAATTACTTCGCCAGTTGCTGCTTTTTCACCCATTTTCTTAAGAGTGGAGCACGCAGATTCTCTGACATTCCAATCCTTGTCATCGAGTAAAACTAAGAGCTTCTGAATTACTTCATTAGTTGCTGCTTTTTCACCCATTTTCTCGAGAGTCTGGCACGCAGATTGTCTGACATCCTCACTGTTATCACCCAGTAAAAGTACGAGCTTCTGAATTACTTCGCCAGTTGCTGCTTTTTCACCCATTTTCTTAAGAGTGCAGCACGCAGATTCTCTGACATTCCAATCCTTGTCATCGAGTAAAACTAGGAGCTTCTGAATTACTTCATCAGTTGCTGCTATCTTGCCTAGCTCTCGGAGAAGCGCATTCATACCATTTTTTAGAGGAGTGTCCATATGATGAAGTCGTGTCATAATTCTATTGATCGTTTTATTCCCTACGTCGCTTCGTAGGATATTCATGATGACATCGTGTGCGGTATATTGTAGCTCACGTTTGGAATCCATTTCGGTGTCGTTATCATGTCGATGTCTGTTAAAATACTCATTGTCCGCATTGTATCGCATGTGATCGGCTGTACCACAAGATAATTTAATAAGCGTATCGATTATCTGATCGGATAATGCGTCTGGGTGCATGGTTTCAAACACTCGACAAGCACGCTCTTTAAAATCCAGTTCTCCACCGATAAGTACTTTTGAATGAAAGTCAATCCATTTTGAGTATGTATTAGAAGTCGGTAAATTCGCAACAATTGAATATACTGCGCGTCTTTTGTCAGTATTTTGAGTATCGTACAGCCGTATAAAGAAATCAACTATTTCTGGCCGATTTACTAATGACGGACTTCTTTCGAGTAATGGTAAGAATAAATGATTTGAACCATAATATTGCGTAGTTATTTCATATTGGATCCGTTGGATTATTGAATGAATTAACTCATCAAAGTATGGAACGCTTTCGTCACACCCAGTCGCTTCTAAACAAGTAATAACAATCTGAACATGTCTGAAACCAACGACATCTAATGGGTCTTCCATCAATGTTTTCCAGAATAAATTCATCCATTGTTGATCATTGTCATGAAACAGAAGACCAGATAGAAAAGTGAAAACTAACTCAAAGCGTTGATTATATTTTAGTGACTGAATGAGTGTGATTGCTTTTTTCTTCTGATGCTGATCTTTATTCTTTAATGTTCTCAATAAATATCGTGCTGCAAAATATTCTTGAAAACTGAGATGAATAAAGTAATGATCTTTTTCTACTTCGATTTGGGTGCCAGTTAACTTGTGACCATCGCATGATTTTAATATACCAATTTTGAGTATATTGGCAAAGAGCTTTGAGTACTTTGTCGTTCTGAAAACGTTTTTCAGTAGTTTTGAACTTAGAATAATGTTGTTGTTCTCCATTCCTTTAAATGCTAATATTTCCAAAAATTTCAGTGGTTCATCACAAACTCCAAGAAGAAGGTCATCTATCATTTGGATATCTTTGTTTTCTCTTCCCCTATATCGTCGACATAGCCATACTGTAATTTTGTAGTATAATCTTGTGATTGTTATTATCTCACTTTCTTGCCAGTTAGTATCACCCCAAATAGTACAAATAAGTTCAAGATTGATTGGAATATGTCCAATACCCCAAATCTTTGGATTTCCTTTCAAGAAGTTCAGCAACTTCTCATCTTGTTCCGATGAGTTTTGTGTCTCATTCCCTAATTGATTGAAGAATTGTTCGACATATTTTCGGATATTTTCATCCGTAAAACCTGTAATTTCCATTTGTACAGAATATGATAAAGTATTCATATATGGACGAGATGTAATGATGTGATTTGGAGTGTTTTGTAGCCGATCAAGTAAGCGTTTAATATGACGTGAATCATCCGAAGCTATTTCATCATAGCCATCGAGAAGCCACAGAATTCGACTTGTCTGAACTAGTTCTTTCAAAAGCTTTTCAACTTCGTCTGACGAAGATAGGTAAGAAAAATATTCATTTTTCAGAATGTCAATGAGAGAATAATCTTTATTATCTTTATATGGTGCTAATGCTAAGGATCGCAGAGGAACGAGCACAACTAATTCATATTCTGACCATATTGCACCAGTTGCCCATTGATAAGTAGCATAGCGACAAAATGTTGATTTTCCGATACCAGCACGACCGAATACTAAGATCTTTCTGTTCTGATCTTTGAATTTTTGGAAAATATCTTTGATATCGATAGGAGTTTTACTTCCATAAATATTTTCATAAGTCTCCAATATTGCATCGATACTATGAGTATTACGGAATTCTTTTTCTTTTTCTTTAGTTTCTTTCGTTTCTACTATAGCCAAATTGATATAACTCTGCTCGATTGGAAACGTTTTCGATGGATTCATGAAGCGTTCCATTTTGTTGTCACATAGATATTTGTATTTAATTAATTCGAAAAGATAATTTGGTGGACCAATTGATTCTGTTGAGACGTTCTTCGATGAAGAATGTTTTTTGTTCAAATAACTGATCAAATTCTCTAAATGCATTTTGTCCTTATTCTGAATTTCCTTGATATTATAACAGTGAAGAGATCCAACTACTGTCATTAACCAAGAAGAATCTTCCCAGAATTTCTTGTCGTCGAACAAACACGGGATAATTAGTTTTCTCCGCTTATGTGCATATTGTAGTTCAAGTTTACAAACTGGTGACCTTTCATAATCTGGTGTCAAAAAACAAAAAACTGCTGCAGCGTTCTCTACTCCATTAGTCAAACTAAAAGAATAATGCAATTGAAAGAAACAATGTAGAGAGAGAGAAAGAATATATAATTTAAAACACATACCTATCGTGCAGGCTATCTGTGGTGAAATTTCCTGATTGGTTGATCCAAACTGGCATCTTCTGATTTCGTAAAAACTCGTAAATTTGAAATACGATTTCTTTATGATTGATATTGTAAGATAACATGATGTGTTGTCCAGCAGGAATCACAGTACTAAAAGATGAAAATTAAACGCTTCTAAATACTGAAATTGTAACAAATATAGCTATAAAACAATGCTTTTTCATGTCTGCATGACTGATAAGATACTTTGTAGAAAACATTCGACATACAGATGAATTTATTTTACACGATCAAGTTATTATATATTTTGCATTGCTATGTATTTACTGAGATATTCTTCAGATCGTCTATTCGAACATCCGTATTTAAATGTAAATACATGGAACATAACCTCTTCTTTTTACGAGACATTATCTTAGGTATTTGAAGAATTTGGTTTTTGGAATATCTGTCTTGATTAGAAGTAAAACATATTGCCAATAGACTCACCATTCTTCCAAAACAATCGTGGAGAGATCAGAAGGCCATGCAGATTTGACACGCAAGCGAGTACCAGGCATAAGAATTATTTCTTTTTCTTCTGGTTTTGCAGAATACATACTAATGTCTTTACCATTGATTGCGTAAATCGAAAACAGAGTGCCCTTAAAATCAGCAAAACATCTCGCTGCATTCTGATTAGATGAACAGGAATTTATGCTCCACCAAGTGTGTTCGGTACCTTCAACAAACTCTTCTCCAAAATTATCTCCAACGCCTCGCCATATCACCGATATTGTACATGGTGGTAATTTTTTTAAAGCAGTTGTGAATAACTTCAAGAAGTCGAACCATGGTTTTAATGCTTCTGGATTCTTGAAACGAAGTGCTTCGTTAAGACGCTCGAAGAAGTTCACCGGCATTGTGTAAAGATAGATTGATGCTGATTCATCTCTTGTTAAATGTGTATTTTGTTTACGTTTTTTCATGGCTTTATTGACATATTCTTCCACGTTAGGCACGATATGGACGACACTTTTTACTGCAATTTCTAGTGATTTCACAGGCACATCGTCGTACCCAAATATTGGATTGCCATTCGCTTCTTGAAATTCAGCAAAAGTACTCGTCGCAAAGCGATTGTTTGTTTTATCAACATTTTGTTGAGACATGGTTATAAATATTTTATTGGATCAAGTGATTTACTAGAAGAAAAAATAAAGTAACTATGTCATTTCTTTTCCGTTATATCAAAAGGGGGAAAAGTGAAGAAAATAAAAAATTTTCAATCCTACAGCAAAAGTAACGAAACTCAATGCTAGTTCTCGCTCTGAACTTTTAATAGTAAATAATCAAGTTCTTTTCTATCAATTTCTATACGCACAAGAAGTAATCTTCTGAAAACAATTAGAACTATAGTCTTTTTTAATATACAACTATCGAGAACTGTTTCCAAAATTCTCATAAAGCTTTTTAAAAATCGTTAACTGTCATCTAATGTTTGCTTCCTCTGAATGATTATCGATAATAAAGTTTCGCTTCTACATCAAGCTCTATGTTTTTTTTATATTCATAGACACTCATATCACTATCAACAACTCTTAAATCAGTCTTTTTAGTAGTATAAAATATCAAAGTGACTTTATCTACTGTTTCATTTGTTTCTATTTGATAATATTTGTATAGTGAAAAAGTCGCTTCTATCTCTGCGCTTATTTATCTAAGTCATGTGCGTTCGATAAAATGGGTGATTCCCATGATGTAATGACTCAACTAAAGTATTAAACTTTGTATACACGTAGGATATCTTCGGGCAGGATTCGACACTTTCTTGAGCGGGTTCGTTTTAGCGTAGGTTCCAACCTAACCAACACTGGTTCAAATTACAACTTGATGAGCTCTATCGCTTCCAAAAATAGAATTTCCCAAAAAGCTCTTTTTTCACTCTCAAAGCCTAAAAAACCTGAAAATAGCACCCAAAAAACCCAAAACTAGAGAAAAACCGGGCGAATTCGTTCTAGAACCGCCGATTCCGATTTTAACACTGGTCCCAGATCAAACTCGACGAGCTCTATCGGTTCCAGACATAAAAACTTTTCACCCCACCCACACCCACCCCCCACCCTCACCCACACCCTCACCCCACCCTCACCCACACCCTCACCCCACCCTCACCCACACCCTCACCCTCTCACCCTCACCCACCCCCTCACCCTTTAAATCGCTGAAATGTTTATAAATTAGATGTTTATTTATAAATGGATCGAATTTAAAAACTAATCAAGTATTTATAAATCTCTGATGCGTTTATAAATTGAAATAAAATGTTTAAATATATATACAAATGGACTCGATTTATAAACGTCGAAAATGTTTGTAACTATTTTATATCTTCGCATGGAAAATTTATCGTTTTAAAACCGATTTTTATATCAATTTATACATCGCTTACTTTCGGACTCACGAGTGCTTCCGATTCGTTTTTTTTTCAATCAAGCTAGATGAAATTTCGTTTTATTCACAGGCACAACTGTAAAAAAATATGAATGAGAGAAAAAGAAAATCTAGAATGATGGAACTCCAGTAGTTCAACGAATATTCGTCGAAAAAGAGAAGAAAGAGGCAAAAGAGAAAAAATTAGCAGAAAAGAGGACGAAGAAGATGAATTTTGAGAAAAAGAGGATCA